TACATTAATTAAATTATTGTTTATTTAATCTCATTTAATAATAACCATTTGATGATAAAATGAACGATCAAGATCGGTTCATATAGTTTGTACCATATGGTTGGTTTCTATTTGAACCAGCCCCTATATATATATATATATATATATATATATATATATATATTAGGTTTGAAGACATATAACTTGAAATGACACGCATGTTCAGGAATGGAGCCAAAAATCAATACAAAAGGGGCTAAAAATAGTGTAAGAAAATCAGTGGTTTCATAGTTGGCAAGGTCGTTTTAAAAAATATTTGTCTTGTTAACTGCTTATCCATATATAATAGATATTAAAATTAACACAAAATATAATTTTACATTATTTATAATTACATTTACAACAATTTCATTCAAATACAAAGTATTGAGGGACGGTTTAGCAAAACTCTATTACCGGTAAGAGTCATCGTTTCTACTAACCTTATCAGGTAAGATTCTTGGTCATCAATATGCTATTGTATGCACAATCTTACTCAGTAAACACTTACCGGTAAGAACCGTCCCCCTCGCTTACCAGGTAAGAATTTCGTTCATTGCCTTGCCCCTTATCATGTAAAATTCTTGGCCTTTTCCATATTATTCCAGTAAGATAAGTAGTCGATAAACATTTATCGAATAAATGATTTGATAAGCAGCCCCTAAATTTAACTACTAAACTAAAATTAAGGCAATTATTTAATTTGTTTAAAAAACCAAAGACAACAAACTTAATTGATTTTTTATTATAAAATAATGCATAAAGAGTGAAAGATTGTTGGAGAGTTGGGGCTTAATTTTTCTAATAGTTATATAATTGTTTTTTTATATAAATAAATTTGGTTAGAACTTGGGATTATAGTTGGGGGCTTGCACCACTTTGTCCCCTCATTTTCTAAGTCCTGTTTATGTTTTTTCCGTTTTATTACACTTTCCGCTCTTTACTTCTCGTTATTTATATTTCCTTATTTACTTTTCGTTATTTATTTTTGTGTATTTGATTTTCACAATTTATATTTCTTACAATTTACTTTCCGTCATGAGTAGCTGAATTTCTTAGCTCGGGTGTATGACGGAAATGGTGAGTTTATAAATCAAAATAAGATAGACCTTTTTATGTAACAACAATGTTTCATTATTTCATTTTAAGTTTTGTAAAACCAATTACACTTCTTGATGAATTGATCACTAAAAAATGTTAAAGTGTCATGGACTCTAAGCTGAGCCATTGATTGCAGGTCAATTTGGATGATATGAGAAGTAGACTTGAGAGAGTTGCTAACAAAGATATTTGTTATCCGTATTTTCTAAATTGTTAATTCTTGACAGGTTGATCACTTTGAAGTGTTAAAGTGGAAGAGATGAGCCATTAAGAACACATCAATTTGAATGATATGGGAATCCACTTGAAAGAGTTATTTTTAACAAAGAGATTTGTTTATCAATATATTTTGAGGACATCATTTGTCACTATCACTTTTCCGGATGCCTCATAGAGATATGAGTTGAAAGCTATAAAATCAATGCATTGGTGAGGTCCGAGAGGAATACCTTCAAAATAAATAATGAAAATAGTTGTTACTAATTGCATACTATAGCAATTTGTCAACATGGTCTCATGCGGTAGCATTTTGAAAGCATTGGTCTACTGTAAATAATATTTACATCTCACCCTTAAGTCTTAAACTTACTTAAATCGAATAAATAAATCCTTGAACTTAATAAAACAAAAAAAAACCGCAACAAACTTTTGTATTGTGAATGATTAAGTCTCTAAACATCATTTTACCTGAATAAATCATTACACCTATAAAACAGAAGAAATATATTATTTCTCTTTCCATGTATCAACAAATCAGTAGGAAAATACAACAAACCAATAAAACAAAAAAAATTGCACCATTTTTGTTGGTCATTGTTTATTTTTATATTCAAGTAACAATCATATGTGTTTGTTTTTGTTATGTTCATGTGATTGTTTTGAATTTAGAAAAGAAATAATTATTAGATTTTCTTATTATTTTCATTTGAATCCTGAAAAAAAATTATGGATAATGAAAATGGTATTTGATCACTTTTTTCATTGATTTATCGTACTTTGTTACTGATGTGTTGATACATTGACAGAGAAACAATATGACCCTTTCGTTTCATAAATACTGTAAGGACTTGGTTCAAAAATTGAGAGACTTAGGGGCCGTTTACTAAACACTTACTTGGTAAGTGCTTACCAAATAAATTTCCTTATCGAATGAACATGAGAAGGGCCAAGAATCTTACCGGAAAAGAGCAATGAAAAGGATAAAGAGTCTTATCCGGTAAGTAAGGATGACAACTCTTACCCAGTAACTTGTTACATTCGATATGTTTGGATGTACAAAAATCTTACGTATCAAAACAAATAATAATGTTGAATCCTATAGGTGAGCACTTACCGAGTAAGCATTTGGGTAAACGACCTCTTAATTGTTCAAATATGAATGGTCGTTGGGTTTCTGTAGTTTCAAAAAAATACAACGATTTATTTGTTCGATTTCAAGAATTCAAAAATTTATTCTCTAAAAATCTTAACAGAACTTTTGACACATTGCTGAATACCTTTGTGTTCTAAATCAAGAATTTGTACAAGAAATTACAAGGTAAAGAAAAATGGAAGCAGAAACAGCAGATCAGATGGGTTCTAACTTCCATTCAAATTCCAAGTGACTACAATCACTTGAATCTTTCACTTTATTCAGTGCTGCATTTCTGTGTTGCAATAAATGAATCCCTCCCTCCTCTTCTTTAGATTTTCTTTTTCGAGGCATTTTACTCGATACGTTCTTCCATTTAAACTCGAACTTGCATGCTGCAAGACAAGTGATAGGCATCAGTAAGAATCTATGTTACCCTTTGTCGAAAATCCCATGTTCTCTCCGGGTGCGTTTGGTGTTCAGACAGGACAGGACAAAACAACTGTTCAGTGTTTGTTAAGACAGAACTGGACATAACTGAACAAGTAAAATGATCAATTTACCCCTCCATGAGTTGTTTATATATAAAGTTTTATTTTGAGGTTATATTGGTAAAATGTAAGTTGGCTCCATCTTGTTCCATGGGGTCGGGGTGGAACAAGCCTGTTCTACTTTGTTCCACTCTGTTCCTGTATGTTCCAAATAAAAGTCCTGCCAAACATGGAGCAAGGATTCTTGTTTTGTTCTGTCTATCCTATCCAGTGTACCAAACGCACCCTTTGCGTGAGATATAATGAGTTCGTTTAGTTTTTTACATGTATATATACATACACACGTATGTATATGAACGCACCCATGTATTAAATTATTTAGAAGAATAACCTTTTAACTAATTCTATGTTGTTACTGCGGTCAAAATACAAAATATCGGTCTACTGCGGTCAAAATACAAAATATCGGTCAGGACCGATATTCGATATTTCGGTTATATCGATGATATATCGGTCCAAAATAACGGTTAATATAATATTTCTTAGAATTATATATATATATATATATATATATATATATTATGTATGCGTCCATAAACATATAATATGCATTAATTAGAGTTTAGAAATATAGTTTCAAAACTAAAACATTACACAAACAAGTCTCACAAAACAAAATAGGAAAAGTGTTCAAAAACGAGCTAATCGCAAACGATAAGGGTGAACTGTGAAAGAACCGAGAAGAGAAGAAGCATGAACTGTGAAGAACCGAGAAGAGAAGAAGCGTGAGACTTAATATATGTGTTGACTGGTTGACCAAATAAAGAGGCCCAAAAAACTAAGCCCGACATGTAATAGAAAAAGACCAAACATTTGTCTTACAGAAAATCGGTATATCGGACCCATTTTTCCATCAAAATATCGGTAAATATCGGCGATATTATCGGAAGCGATATTTTGACCGATATTTCACCACCGATATTTTTCCAGAGTCCGATATCCGTATATCGCGATATATCGCAATTTTAACAACATAGAACTAATTCTTTTTTAAATACATGAACTTCTGACAGATTTTGAGGGATTCTTACGTTAGGAAGATAAATTAATTTGTTAGGCAGAGACGTTTTTAAATCTGTCAAAAGTTATATGCATTTAAGAGGTTATTTTCCTACCAAATCATCAAAACCATATCTATTTGGGATGTCTTGTAGCATAAAGTGGCATGCATTTAAGAGGTTATTTCCTACCAAATCATCAAAACTATATCTATTTGGGATGTCTTGTAGCATAAAGTGCCATGTAAGATGCCACATATGCAACTCCCCTTGGTCTTTAGACCGGTTGTTAATAACATGGTCACCTTGTTGGTACATAAACTACGATGGACTACAAAAGAATAGAATATATTAGATGATTTCCTTCTTTTGGTTTGATTTTAGACTTGTATACAAACATATTCATACATAAACGCACCCCCGTCTTTTTATCAAATATAAATTCGATTCCTTTACACAAGATAACAGGAAGAGTGTAAAAGATTGCATGTTTACCTTCGCTTTTACTCGCAAAACCTCGAATAAGGCACGCACAAATCCATGGTCTTCCAGCTTGTGATGCTTTTGCGCCACCCTTTAGCTCACCATTATGTTGTCTCAACCTGCAAAACCGAAAAAGTAAGGAAAAACTTACAAAACAGGACAGTTGAATGAATCAAGAAAAAATCTGTTATTATGACCCTACTCCGTGTGGGATTTACTCTGTTATTTTGGTACCAAACAAAAACAAACTAGCACAACATATTCCACATAGAGGTGGGGTCCAAGGGGTAAGATGTAGGCAGAGCTTGCCTCTACACAAAGAAGTTGTTTCCATGATGACCCGCAACAATTGTATCAACTCGATTGATGATAAAATTGTTCTTCATGAAGTAATTCCACAAAACCGAATAGAACTACCCTAGCCCCTAGATGAGCTTTAGTTGATTTGTTTCTTCAGTTTTGGTTTCCATAAAAAATAGAAGCTTAACCATAATGGACTGAATGGTTTCTAATGCATCTCAAAAAGAGTTAATTTAGGGGTTGTTTGTTTACCTCTTAATAGTTACATTAAGAGGCAACCTCTGAATCACTAAGAGGTGAATCTTGTTTGGACAAAAAAAAGTATGTCTCTTAATGGTTCTAAAACCCTCCGAACAATTTTGTATCTTGGACCTCCCTTAACCATTCATCACCCAAATTTCATTCTAAATAATTACCAAACAATTATATTTCATTTTGCATTATATTATAAGAGCCTCTTAATCATTTTGCACCAAACCATTCAGCAACTGCCAAACAGCCCCGAGATTATGCCCAGAAACTACTACCATCTCATGAGTAATAAGTTTCAAATCTTTTCTAATAGTTTCCATAGCTATGCTAGTTTGTTAGCAACTAATGAGCTTACTGGGACTCGATCCTTAGTCAGCTATACATGACTACCTAGTAGTGGCTTAATGACATAGAAAGTGGTTTATTCAATAAGCTTTTAGGAGGAGCTTTATGCAGAAAGTCATTTTTTTCTTCCAAACTTGCCCGTACCAATTAAGAAACACACTCCTTTCCTCTATGAAAAAACCTCCTAAACAAAAACCTTTCCGATCTATACGGTTAATCCACACAGACAATTTTATCCAAACAATCCTAATTTAGATGGGAACACTGAACAATACTTGTTAACTGACCTGGTCTAGTTTTAGTTTTTTCATTCAACTACAATAAGTTGGTATCTGAATAAAAATCTTTCTTTGATATATCAGCTGTAATCAAATGCTAATCTGATCCCTTCTCCATGAACCCTTTAATTGCTTCTAGTTCTACACTTGTGGAAATTGAAGAAACTCAAGATCCATGTTCTTAATAACTTCATTGGTTTCCAAATCATCCATACATTTTCAAAACCTGCTACCCTAATTTGCTGTACCAGTTTGCAGGAATCACCAAAGCACAATTATTTTAAATTTTCGAAATTGTCCGTCAATTTCTCAACAATTTGGGAATTTCTCGAGATAACCTAAGAGATCAAAAATTTTAAATTACACACACACACAGCATAAATATATACACATACATATATATATATATATATAGAGAGAGAGAGAGAGAGAGAGAGATAGAGAGAGAGATATATATATAGAGAGAGAGGGTTACCGGCGAGAAAAATTGGTGGTGACGCCAACGTAAGTTTTGAAAGGGGGATTGGTTGAAAGGATGAGATAGATCGACCAATTAAGATGGTTTGATTCGGATGTTGATTTAGGAAGTCGGGAATGAGGTTTAATGGAAGAAAACGTTGTTGAGAGCAACCTCGTCATCCACATACAAATCGGAACTCCTCTATCCCCTTCGCCGGATCGTTGTTCTGCTAATACAAACAGAAATGGTTGACAAATTATTTCCTCACCGGTTTACAGCGGAAATCGGCAAGTTTTCTAACGTTGACGTCTACTCTAATTTTTTTTTATATTTACATGTTTATTTTAAAAGAATAGGAATCCGGAAAATTGGAATGAAATGTTTGGTTGAAATAAATGAATTTTAATCTCTCTAATGAATTAGAATCTGTCTATTTCATTTGCAACAGAATTTGAGGAAATGATGAAAAAAGATAAAAATACTCTTTCTTCATGACTTATTTAGCCATTTATGCAAATTAAGAAAACCCCTTGTATGCAAGTACAAACACATACATCAAATACATATATATATATATATATATATACATTCGGTCGGTGACAGTTTCATTTGAAGAAGATGAAAGCAGTGCAATTTCATATTTGAAGTAAAAATCAGTAACAAAAGCAAACGGTTCATTCGAAGCAAACGAAAAGTAGTAGAAGAACTCAGTAACAGGTTCAGGTTCGAAAAAAAAAAAAAACAGAAACAGAAAGAAAGCAGTATAGAAAGCAATGGCATAAATCAATAATAGGTTCGATAAGATGAAAGCAGTAGCAGGTTCATTTGATAAGCAGAAAGAAAGCAGTAGCAGGTTCGATTGTTTGATGAAAACAGAAGCAGGTTCATTGATAAGCAAATATAAAGCAAAAAGAAAGCAGTAGCAGAAATCTGTAACAGGCTCGATTGTTTGATGAAAGCAGAAAGCAACGTTCGATCGGTTGGGAAAGCAACGTATCCCGATGAAAGCAGTAGCAGAAATCTGTAACAGGCTCGATTGTTTGATGAAAGCAGAAAGCAACGTTCGATCGGTTGGGAAAGCAACGTATCCCGATGAAAGCAGTGTTCTTTGATGGAGCGGCTAGGGTTTAATATTGTAATAAGGGTATTTTTGTCATTTACACACTTTTAGATGGAATGAATTTCAATTTCATCAGCTTTAGGAAGGAATGATGAATTCCTCAAATTTGGGAATCTTTGGAATTCAATTTAATTCTATAGGTAAGCAAACATTGTAATGGAATTTGGTCAATGGAATTGACCATTCCAATTCCATCATATTCCGACGAACCAAACGCCCCCTAAGGGGTGTTTGGGATTACTTATTTAGTGGATTGGAATTCATGAAGAATTTAACTCTGAAGGAATTAAAATGATGAATTTGATTATGAAGAAATTGGAATAATGGAATTTGACTTTGACTTTGAAAAAATTGGATTGATGAAATTAGATCAAACATTTGGATGGTAGGAATTAGAATAGAATATCTCAAAAAAATTGGAATCTCCATTTTTGTTTCGACCACACCATCCCCACCCCGCCCATGCCTCCCCATCCCATCTTTACCAACCACCATGTTATTAATGTTGTCATCGCAGCTACCACCCCCACCCCTGACCAAACAATTACATATGATGTTGTGATTTTGTTCACATATGAATATTTGATACTTTATAAAAGCAATTTTTAAAAATGTATGAAATTTAAACATGGACTATTATCGATCGAGTGTGATATTTAATATATTTGATTTAAAACATGACGAGGAAAATCCCTTGATTCTCCATGTAAACCAAACAAAGGAATTGAAATTTAATCAAAGAAATTGATCATTCCAATTTCTTTGAATCATTTGAATACTACAAACCAATCAATACCTTATGCATCTTTCTAAAAGTGCCTATCAACTTATATGATGTTAAACGGAGTTTTATAAAAAATAGAGTAAACTATAAATTTGGTCCTTGTTGTTTGTTTTTTGTAACACTTTTGGTCCCTACATTTTCGAAATTACAGTTTTACCATTGTGGTATGCAAAAACGACCGATCTAGATAATATATATTATTATATTTAGTGTATGTATGTATGTATGTATGTATGTATATATATAGAGGAGCGTTCAAATAAAAACTTGCCCCATTTGTGTAAACCAATCTCATCCGTCCATTTTCTTGATCAATGGCTAAGATTAGTTTACTTTATTTTAGGAAATAAAAAATATTAAAAAATTATTTTATTTCAATGATAAGGGAAAATTGGTAAACAAAAGTTAACATCAATATAACATTAATTTCATAAACAAAAGTTAACATCAATATAACATTAATTCCATAAACAAAAGTTAACATCAATATAACATTAATTCCATAAATAAAAATTAACATTAATATAACATCAATGAACCATTTTATAATGAAATCTTTTCACATTAACATTAATTCCATAAAGAACAAAATATAATATGCACCTGTTTCATCATATATTTATTTCATWAAAGAACACAATACATTACGCACCCGTTTCATTTTCATCCTACCAACTAAACAGATCAACTTCAATCACAAAGCAATATGGATCATCATGAACCTAGATATACATTCAATCACAAAGCAACAAGGATAACCATGAAACTTCAATCACAAAGCACCTATTTCATTAACACATATAATATGCATAGACGGAACAAATAAACCATTTTACAATGAAACCTTTTCACATTGAAACAGTTTCATGACCATTGTTTTTTGAACTTTGTTTATGAAACTATTCATTACAATATTTTCATTAGGAAATAGAGAGATTATATTATTTCGATTTTTCAACTGTTTTGAAACGTTTGATGAAACCGTTGCATCAATAGTTCATTTTCCTTATTCCACTCATATGAATTTATGAACCTTTTCATTATGAAACAGTTTCATGAAATCTTTTCATTAAAGTGGATAATATGCCTAAAGAATTAATTTGGACAATATGCCTAGAGTATTAGATTATGAACATGCTTCATTATTATGAACCTTTTCATTATGAAACAGTTTCATGAAATTTACCTCATATGAAATAGTTTCATGAACTTTAGGAATGAAGTTCGCCCCATATGAACGTCCCATATGAAACAGTTTCATTATGAAACAATTTTATTATGAAACATTTTTATTATGAATGCCCCATTCAAATCAAGTTTTTAATATTATAATATATTAAAATTTTTTAATATGTTACCATTCAAGAAATTTCCATTACTAAATTTCCTTATTTAATATTTATTAATAACTATCTTATTTATCATAAAAATATAGAAAATGACCAAAATACCCTTATTGATTAAATTTAATTAAAAAAGAATGGAATTTTCCTATTGGTCGAATTTGGTTTACACGGTTTCTTAGAATTGCATGGTTTTCATTTGAACCTGCCCATATATATATATATATATATATATGTGTGTGTGTGTATGTATGTGGTATGTATATATATATACCTGCAACTCTTTCCTTTCCAGTGCATCGATGACTCGAAGACCTTTTCTTTTCCGATGAATGGTGCCACCCCATCCTCCTCATCAAATGCTTGCAACTCCCCTTCCCCTTGGCCGTTCCCTACCATCATTTTTGCAGGTGAGGAAGACACCATCTTTGTTGACCATCTCCACTGTGCCACCACCATTCATTGGCCATCTCCACCATCTATCCCCTTGCCTTTGCCTTCTTCTTCTGCTATGAGCACCACCTGACAATGTCTCCTTTCTTCCTCTCCAATTACAACAGGTGAAGGTCACACTGCTTCAAAGTTCAACCCTCCCCTGTTCTTTCGCTGCAAGCCTGTTGGTGCAACTCTAGGACAACAAATATGGTGATTTTGCTTAATTTTACAGTTTTACATCTCTGATTGCAAATAGATTGAGCGATTTGCCTCCTCCGGTGACCCTTCTCTCTCATCGCCCTAAGAAAGGTTATAGGTTGCCTTTTGACCTAAACCCTTTGGCTTCCGCTACCTGGAACTGCTACTCCAACAACCAGGCTCTCGACAATCGTGTGCCCAAGCAACCTGCAACTCCCTTTTTTTCTGATGAATACTCCCTCTTTCGTCAGCCATATCATCTTCCCCATCATATTCATCTCCAACATCTTCCCTTGTACAATAACCCTCCCCCTTTCTCCTCTGTAGCAGGTCCGATTTTTCACCACGTTAATCTCCAAAACCTCCTCTGCAACCCTCAACTTATCGACATTTTTGTGTAAATCATTAATCTTCTAACTCAAATTTGGGTTTGTTTCGAATTCTCTCTATTCACATCGAATTTGTTTTAGATTTTGAAGGGTTTGTTTCAGATTTATAAGGTTTGTATTTGGTTTTGATTTTGGTTTGAATTTGGGTTCTTTAATTAGGGTTTACATTAAGGATCATAAATTGCTGGTTTTAGGTTTTGATTGTTATTGACTGTTTTTATCGTAAGATTTGGATTTGGATTTAACTCGATATTGTTATTTGGATATGTAATTGATTTTGATTGAGGCTTTTATGTTCTTACTCTTGGTCAGAAAAGACGACCATTGCCAGTGAATTTCATTTCCATTTGTATATGTATACGTGTGAATTATGGGACACTTGTTATTGGATATTTCATGTTATTTAATCTTTAACAGAAAATAAGATGAAAACCTAAAAAGATGAAAATGCCCCTCAACTAACGGATTCTTTTAAGAACGTTAGTGGGAGGAACCAAATCCGGTCGTTTTTGCATATCATAATGGTAAAACTATAATTTCGAAACTGTAGGAACTAAAAGTGTTACAAACAATAAGCCATAGGGACCAAATTTGTAGTTTACTCTAAAAAAATATTTAGATTAGCTTATGATGGTACTAAAACGTAATAAACTAATAAGTATTTTTTTCCATCCAAAGATCCAAAACTTGAGAAAATAAAGCCGCAACAACATTTTATATGATTATGCTCTTTATTATGAAAGGTTGGGTAGTTTTGTAATTTAAAATTCATTTAGAGGGTATTAATTTCTTTTCTTTCCTTTCCTTCCCTTCCCTCTAAATTTGAAAGGAAAGTTTTGGGAGGAAACTTATAATTTATCTTTTTCCTTTCCATTCCATTTTGTCTCTCTCCTAAAAGTGTTACGAGAACACGAGTTTTTTTTACTTTCCTTCTCTTTCCCTCCCTTTTCTCCATTTACTTCGTAAAAATGTGTGAAGAACACAACGCAATGTCTCGTTTGGTTTGTAGATTGGATTGGATTTGAAGAGTTTTGTAATTGAATTTCATTCAATCTCATGCTTGAATTGAAAATTTCT